GGGAGCCCGCCCGGCGCCCCCCGCGGCCGGGGTGACGGCCCCCCACTCCTCTCTCTTCCGGCCCTCGCCTCGAGCACCATGGGCCTAAGGGGTTCCCGAGGCGCCGGACGCTGAAGATGACCGATGCTGGAGGTGAGGGGCCAGGCTTTCCTGGGGTGAACGGGGAAGGGGCTGGGGGCCACCCGGGGCCACCCGGGCTGGCGGTGGGACCCTAAGTGGGGTTGGATCGGGCCAAGCGACAAGGGCCTTTCTTCCCTTATCCCTAGGGGGACCGCACAGGGTTGGGGTGCTGGGCTGTCAGGGGAGGGGGCGGAGATAGGATTTGTGTCCCTAATCCCCTCCCTCCCGCTCAACGCCCGGAGAAATTAATAAAAAACTGCTGTGGGGGGAGGGGGAGAGGGCTTAACTCCTCCTTGCCCGGCGCGGAGTTGGACTGATGGATGGAGAGGAACTAGCCCGCCGGCTGGGGCTGGGGTGAGAGCCCTGGAGTGGAGTAGGTGCTCTGCCCCTCCCCCACCCCACCCCCATCTCCAGCAGAGTTCTGAGGGGTGTCTGTTCCCTGCGGACCGGCCAGCCCCTGACGGGGAAGACTCGAGCTGCACACCGGGGAAGGCTCGAGCTGCACACCGCCTCCCCCACCCGAGCCTTGCCGGCCTTTCCCACTCACACTTCTCTGGTCCCCTTCCTCGGCCTGCCCCGGCAGCCAGCCGGGCTTCCCCCTTCTCTCTGCACCGCACCCTGAGGCCTCACTCAAAGTGCGGGAGCCCAGGTCTCCTCTGCTCTCCCTGTCTGCTCTCTTTCCTGGTCTTTCTTCTCTGCAGCCCTGTGGATCTGCCGTCTGTCCCTCAGCTGGTCTGTCTGCCAGGTTGCCCACTCCCTCTCCCCTGCTCTCCCCAGGGCTTTGATCCTTTTCTTTTCCCTTTTTCCTCCCTGGGCTGGCTCCCAGGAAGCTTTGAGCTCACCTGCCTCCTTGGCTTCCAGAGAAGGGTCAAAGGTCACTGGTGCTCCTTTAGAAATTGGGAACCTTGGCCTGGTACCACCAGAGCCCAGAGAGTGTCCAGAGGAAGGGGTTCATTTCCACGCTTGTGCAGTTACCTGACTGATGTGTGTGTGTGTGTGTGTGTGTGTGTGAGTGGGACTGGGGCGTGGGGTTTGGTGTCTAATTTTTCAGTGCTCTGTTTGGGAAGGAGAGATTGAGTAGGAGTGGCCTGGGGCCCTGCTGGCCCTCTTGCCTCTCAGAATTCTCCAGGGGACTGTGTAGGGAGGGTTCCCCACACATACCTCAAGAATTAGTTGAAGCAGGGAGGGACAGCAAGCTGTTTGTGCTGAATCAGGGTGAACTGGAAGCCCCAGCCCATCCTGGAGAATGCCTGGAAAAGGTCTCCAGCCACAAGCCAGTCCCGCATGGGACCATGAGTGAGGGACTTGTGGGCTGGCCATGCTCTGGAGCCTAAGGGGGGGAAGGCACCGCTACTGCTCCCCAAGAGCCCAGTTCTGCTGGAAGAGGCAGCTCCTGGCTTCAGAGAGCCCCTAGTCTGATGGAGGAATGTGTGGCTCCTCGCCATAGCCCACTGCTGTCTGAGGTAGGGGAGATAAGACCCCCCTTTAGGGAGTCTATGTCTGAAAAAGTCCCCATTTCTGAGTGGTTGGAGAAGGGTAGATTTAGAAATCGTGGAGACAAATGGGAGGAGGGGGGTACCTAGCGGGGTACCTAACATGCTTTCCAGGGGAGGTGGCAGCTGGGGCTGGTCAGAGAAGGCTTTGTGATGGGCTGAGGGAATTTGGTTCATTCTTAGGGGCCGCCTCCCTTCCCATCCGGCTCTCAGGACAGGAAAAAGTGTTCTAGATCTTTGCTTCTAGCCCCAGAGTTCGAGAATGGTGGGGCACTTGGAGGGCCACTGACACTGACCCTTTCCCACACCCCATTTTCTGCTTGGAGCCCCAGTCCTAACCATGGTGGTCCAGCTCTCCTCCCTGAACCCTTGTGCCTTCCCCCAGCACTGCCCTTCCTCGTGAGTACCCACCAGGAATGCTCGTCATCACCCAGGATAGCTGTGGGGCAGCTGCATCTCGGCCTTCATATCTGTAGATCGGGGATGCTAGGATTCCCAACTCCCGCAGGCAGGCGACCCCACCTTCCTACACCTGACCAATGTAGAGTCTAGCCCTGTGTGCTGCCCTTCTCCGGCCCAGAGGGTTAGCAGTAAAGGGAGATGCGGGCCAACCAGAGGTACAGGGGCACCATGCTCTGGGATGCTGGACTCACACGGGAGGGTCCCAGGTTCATGTCCTGGGTTAGAATCCATCTGGGATTCGTATCCCAGGGCCCTTCTTCTGTGTGCCGGTGTACACGTGTGCCCATGACCCAGGATGATAGAGCGTGGGGTAGAGTGTGGCATGAAGACTCTGCTGGGGGTGCTCTTCTCTCTCTCTGCCTCTTTCTCTTCTCATGGTAGAAATGAATAAGTAAAGCTAAAAAAAAAAAAAAAAAAAAAGGATAAGTGGCACGAGGGGCAGTGTGG